GTGTAGAGTAGCACTTGTTGTTTGTCATTTCTCCGATCACAAATGCAGACAGAGTTTTATGTTTACGCGGCGCGATGCAATGCAACGCGTAAAAAGACAGTATAAGTCATTATAATCAGTAATTATGTCCCCACTGGATGCAACAAATGCCTCGTTTATAATGGGTTTTAATGTTTATGTCTCGTCGCTCCGGCCTGACACGGCATCAACAGTATGTGAGGGGCGTAACATTTCCGTCACACGCTTGAGGTATTCGGCCAATCACAACGCACTGGATAGCTGGCCAATCACAGCACACCTCGCTTTTTCAGACCCATGAGCTTTGTAAAAATCAACGCGTTTCAGAAAGGCGGGGCATAGAGGAGAAACAATAATGTACAGTATGTGGAAAATGTGTTTTTTGAACTTTAAACCACATAAACACATTTCATTACACCAAATACACAAAATAATGTTATTTTTAGCAGCATCATATGACCCCTTTAAAATACCATCACCTCTACATACATGATTAATGAACTGAACTTAAATTCAGAAATTGTAATTTCTTATCAAAACACAAGTTTATATATACCCAGTGTATAATTTATATTTAGTTTGCTTGTTTTCTGTTTTAATATATTTTAAAATGACATTTATTTCTGTGATGGCAAAGCTGAATATTCAGCATCATTGCTTCAGTCTTCAGTGTCACATGATCCTTTAGAAATCATTCTGATATGCTGATTTGCTGCTCAAGAAACATTTCTTAATATTATCAATGTTGAAAACAGTGATATAAATTTTGTTGGATGAATGTAAATGTAAATTATTTATTTATAAATTATTTTATTTAAAAAAATTATATATAAATGATATATATGTGTGTCTGACTGACCTGCTGCAGTGCGATAATGTTGCTTTTGTCAGAGTCCATCTGAGCAGCTCGAAGTTTCTCCCTCAAGTCTCTGATCATCTGCTGATACTCCAACATTTCCAAATCTTTCCCTGATAAAATACTCTGAAACACAAACATACAAATACATGACAGTTTACAGCATCTAGAACTCTCAGCTACCAAAAGAATAAAATTGGCATTTACCTCATTTCACATTATGTTCACACTGTGACAGTGTTGGTCTATGGGTTGTCAGGATGTGTGATACTATTCTGCAGGTTAGACTTTTGGCGCTGATTTTTCACCGCTTAGAGCAGGGGTGGGCAAACTTGGCCCTTCCAGGCCACTTTCCTTCAGAGGTTAGCTCCAACCTTAAATCAAACACACCTGAACCAGCTAATCATTGTCTTCAAGACTACTAGAAGGCTACAGGCAGGTGAGTTTGATCAGGGTTGGATCAAATCTCTGCAGGAAAGTGGCCTGGAAGTGCCAATTTTGCCCAACACTGGCTTAGAGGCAACTCTAATTACTAGTTGTTCAGCTTTTTGGGCCTTTTCCATCAGAAAACATGTCTATTCAGTTACAATGGAAATAGTTATAGTGCTTGGAGTCGCAGTAGTGTCAGGATGTTAAATATGATACTTGTTAGTTTATTTGATATTCCTCTACAGCAGCTATTTGTATTCCATTTGTTATGTGTCATAAATGTTAAAAACAGAAACACTTTTGAGTGTTTTAACTCTCTCAATCAGGTTACGTGAACTTCATTTGTGTCTGGAGTTTATTCTTTACTTTGAACTAGCCTATAAAAATATTCTCTGTATTTTAAATGTTGTCAACTGAACATGTTAAGTTATTATAATTAATTAAAAATGACTGAAATGACAGAAAATTTGAGAATAAAAAGCAACATTAGGTTTTTGTAATGTCTATTCAATGATTTACTCGTTTGCCACACAAATGTCTTCGAGTTATCTTTATTTGGGAGCTTTTCAAAGAAAATACTGATATATAAGTTTATATTTTTTTTTCAATAAATTAAAAGCCCAAGTATTTTTATCCACATTTTTATAAGCTGAATTCCACTGAAGATGCATGCTAGCACAATTTGTAGAAAAAAAAAAGAAAAAAAAAATCAAATTTTTTTTTTTTTGTTTCCTCAGATGACAAAACTGTTGGTTGAGTCTGGCACAAAAGCAAATATTTAACCTTTTCTTCAGAACTTCAGAAAAATGGCTCCTCAAAGACGTGAGCAATTTCAGACAGGTAAAACCACATACAACCAAAAGAAAAACAACAACAGCCACTTCTGCAGTAGTGAGAAATTAGGAAAGTTCATGGAACCATTTGAATATAAACTGGTTTTATTTGTCAAAGCTGACATTTACGAGTTTGGGCTCACCTTCCACTCTTCAACTTTGGCATTAACGGCAGCCATAACTGGGTCGTCCTCTTCAACTCGAGCCTGGATTTGTTCATTTAGCTCTCTGACCTTTAAAAAGAGATCTATTTAAAATGAGTCCATTAATAACAATTTATTTTTCTTTCAATCATAAAAGAGGCCACCCCCTCCATTACATGCATGCACACTCAAACTACTTAGATTTATGCAAAACTCAACCTTACCTATTTATT